AATTTTGATTTATGCACAAAATAATAAATAAATAAATAAAACTTTGGTCGAGCACCTCCCAACCCCTCTTGCCACGGATTCGAGTGACACCAGCTCAGTGGGGGAGCGTTCCACCTGACTAACACTTGCGTTTTTACGAGCCCCCAGACCAGGAGACACACATAGATCAAGTGGCCGGGCAATGGGGCCAAGAGTTTACGGCCCTGCTCCGGGAATCGTTTAACTTCGATTTCGTATTTCTGATTTATTTTCCCAAGTCGCAGGCAAAATGCATCTACCAGACTGCTAGCGCCCAGGGCCATAAATTTCCTTATTTCCATCGACCAGCTGGGCAAGTGGGTTTTGGGTTTTCAGTTTTTCCGCCCGGCGCTGGCTCTTTTTTCTCTGATATCAACGGTAAAAACTCACCATAATTTTTAATTGCACAAATTTATGGCCTGACTGAGGGGCGTCGCAGTGGCCCAGATGATGGAGGGCCTCATTCTCATCCCGACTCGGATCCCGATGACGGCGTTAGCGGTTCTTTTGTCCCCGGAGCTACAGCTATCAGTTGACCATTTTACAGCCGATTTATTTGCGTCCGCGGCAGATAAATAGCCGCGGACCCCAAAAGACATCCCTTGGCTCAAGCGGCGCTGGCCATTAAAATCAAATAAAATCAATGCTTAAAATTCGGCTCTTTAATGAATAGTCGAGTGCCATAAATCAGTAATCCATACGAGGCCTGTTCTGCCCACATTCACATCTCGTCCGGCTGCCAATAAAACCGACTGTAATGATGCATTTACAAAAATGTTAAAATGTTTGTTTTCATTGTGAGCGCCCAGCGAGATATTAAAATTAATTTAACAGGCCAACAAAATGCCAGAAAATCAATGCGTATACAAATACAAAACGATGCTCATTTGGGAATGTATGAAAGCTGGGGAAAAGGTGTAACCCGATCCGGACCAAAAGCTCGTCACTCGTGGTCTTGTATCCTTGGCTGATATCCCCTTATGGTATTTAAATGCTGGCACTGTTTTCTGTTCGCTGGTATCTCGCAGGCACTTGCCTCTGTTTTAGATAAAAAATATTTGGCATAAACATTGAGAATAGCAACAGCGACAGGAACAACAACTGCAGCGTAGGAATTCCCCAGCCCCGTCTCCGCCCCCGTCCCCCATGTCCTTTACTATCCCAGCTCTGGGGGCTCATATTTCAATTTCGATTTTCGAAAACGATGTGCGAGCTAAGCGCAAACAAACAAGCAAGCCAAAGCAAACAGATAAACAGCCAAATACATTGAATGAGTTTATACCGTACATGTGTATATATGCATAATATGTATAGCTGCACTCAGAAAAATTCATCTTTAAGCTATTCAAACCTATGCAAAACAATTGAAAAACAAAAGCAAGTCTTATCTTATAAAAAGTGCCAACAAAGAAATAGGTAAAACGATATTAATAATGCATATAACATTTGTTACGTTGATGGCCGGAATTTTAGTTGGGCTTATTGCAAGGACTTTAAAATGTTTGCCAAGCGGAACTAGGACTTAAATTTAATATAAATATAAAAGACTACATAAAAATAGAGCTAAATATTTAATAAATATATTGAATATAATTTCAAACAGCATTGGTGTAAATACTAAAAATTGGATCTGTCTTAATAAAGTTGGAGTTTCCTTATTTAATGTTTGAAATTTATAACAAATTTTGTATTCTTTATATGTTGTAGGTTTTTATTTTGCATTAATGTACTTAAAATGTTTTTGCAAGTGTCGAGTGGATGTAGCTCACATATCTATGCGTTGTGTCCGACATGGGATGCGACACGGATGCGACTCGGAATTGGAGCTGGGATGGAATCGAAGCGCGGCGAATGGCATTGCCGGTCGTGGAGTTTGGTGGATCAATGGGGAAGGGAGGAAGGGAGGAAGGGAGTGGATCGGCTGCCGTTCGCACAAACGCAGTGCAACTTTGGCCCTGGCAGTGCCGATGTCGCCGACGTCGTTGCGAAATGTCCAAAAATGAGGCACAAACATGCGCATGAATTTTGCAACTTGCCACAGCCGTAGGTTCAGCAGGAGGACTAACAAGTTGCCCCCTGCCAGAGTCGCTGTTTCGGCCAGGAAATGCAGCGCAAATAAATGAGGCAGCAGTCGCTTGACCCTCGTCCGCCAATATTTTAGCCATTTGTAATTTTATATTTTGTGCCGGGACAGACGAACAGGGGAGTCCGACCGACCAATGTTTGCATTTTAGATTTGCCTTATTGGAAATTCTATCTGGAGCAGGAACATGTGTTCCCGTTTTCGATACGTATTATCGTTGTTTTTTTTTATTTTGGGCCAGCACGTGACTGGCAGCTGTTGCCCAGGGGGAAAGTGTTGGGCCAACACCATAATGGCCCGAAATGAGCCGGGGAGATGCCTAAACTTTGGCTAATTGCCAGGCGGGTCGTAGACAAGTGTGGCTTCGCGCCCCGTGGGGCAGCAGACGCCGCAGCACTCAGACAGCCCGGCATTTGCATAAACATGCAACGTGTCTAATACCCGGAGCGAGGAGATGGACCAGACCGGGCCCAGACTTCCGGCTCAAGGCCGAAACAAGCGCCGAAGCACAGTCAAACTTGGTTAAATCAAACTATCTTTTTATTACTTAGAGCTTCTTTAATAAAGTATGAAAAAAATAATGACCTAATTATTATGGAATAATAACCATAATATAAAAATGGTTGGGCAAAAGCATTCAGCACAACAATTAAAAAGATATGTATTTTTTTCCAATCCGAATATCATGAAATCATTAATATATAGCATTAAGACTCAGATTCTAATTGTTTCATAATCCTAAGATAATACATTTAAGTCGGCATTTAAATTTGATAATTAATTTATTTTTAATTATTTTATAATTTAAACACATCTTTTTGAGTGGCTAAACCTTTTTTGACCCAGGAACTTCGTCTGTTTTGGCATAACAACAAAGATTTAATTAATAGGGACAGACATGAAAAGGGCGTGGCCTATCAAATAAAACTAAGCAGGAACTGCAGATTTTGGCCTTGGTATGATACCAAAGTTCCCAAGATTCTATCTAACCAAAGCAAATACACCTTTCGATTTGGAGCAGCTTCCACTTGACCGTCGCAAAACATTCGAACTTGAACTTGCCAGAAAAACTACCTACCGCATTTCGTGGCAGGCATCCGAAAATGGACAAAGTCAACGTTCGGCGGCATCTCGCAAGTGGCGTTTTGTCAAATATTTCCGAACAGTTTGTGCCGGAGAAGGACTGGTTTTTGGAAAGCGGGACTGGCGGAGGGTCTTCACGACTTTTATTTAATGAATTTCGCAAATTTCTGGCGGCAGCATCTCACGCATGCGAATGGCTCTGACAAACCCAGCCAAACAGAACTTGTCTCCGGCGTACACAATGTGCAAATAATTGTCTCAATTCTTTGGATTCCGAGGATCTGCAAGTTGCACAACCCCGAGAAACTGAATGAGTTCTGGCAAAGACGATTATCGGTTATCTGAGTGTTTTAGGCGCCTCTGGGGAAGATACAAAGGCCCAGCTATGCGACTGAATATTGTTTGAGGATGTATGGAAATTGCAATAGCTCAGGCCTCAATTTAAGGTTCCTCATTCCTGGACCATCATTCCGAAAAGTCATCAAAAAATATTCCATTGATTTGCTCACATTCCATTCCCAATCGTTCATTTAGGCCCGAATCATTTTGCGTAGCTCTTCAGAAGGCATTACGTAAATTACTACAGAAGGAGAAACCTTTCTTTAAACTTTTTAAGCAGAAGATTTGGGCTAGTGCCAAAATGTCAACCCCATACAATTTTATGGTGCTTAAATTGCAAGTAACTTGATAAGCGTCTTAGAAAAAATCCATTATAAATATTAACATAAATAATCCTTTTCCTAGATAAACCCACTTTCAATTGAAACTTTGAAAATAATTTTCTGTGTACGTAAATTACTAGAAAGAGATGATTCCACGGGGAAAAGAGAGAGGCCACGAGTTCGCCAGAATGAATTGCCAAACACAGATGACAATGAGCCGGGCCAGCGGGCCAACAAGTAACCTGGCCAACACGACACGAGACGGCGGGCACAGTGCCTCAAAAAATGCTCGCACAAATCGAAAAGGAACGAAAAACAGATACGAAACGAAAAACAATCGTCGTCAGTCAATTCGAATGCGATTCGGGGTATGCGCGACAGGTATGCCTATGAAAACCGGGCTCAAACTCCCGGCGACTCCCGGCTAAAACCTGGCGACAATTTTTCAATTGTCTGCCGGGCGACTTTGGCAACCATGGAGGTCGTCGTCGTCGTCGCCGATGGTTGTTGTTTTTGCCGATGCCGCATTGCTCACATAACCGGCAATGAAAAGCGCCGCAGCATTGCAAGTTGCATATAAAAATCTGTTTTCGACTGCGACTTGTTAATTGCGCACATCGCAAGGGGGGAATTTAATTGTTGTCGCAGCTACTGTTGGCTGCCTTGAACCTGGCTAACTGGCCAACTGAATGTCTGGGCCAACTTGCCTGGCCCTGAATTCCCCACAATAGGCCCTGTGCGTGGGCAGCTCCAATTACGCGTTCATACGAGCCCGGCGGCTCAACCAACCAACCGCTCGACGACGACGACTCCCGCTGCGAAGGCTCACGCTTCAGCTGGCTTCGGCTTACAACTTACAAGAGCGAAGAAGCGAGAGCAAAACCCCGGCAAACGAAAACAAAACTAATTAATAAATTAATTATGCCATTACAATAATACACACACACCACCATAAGAGCGACCCCGAGACTCACGCACTTTAATTATGAATATTTTCATGCTAAAATATGCATGCACTTGCCGGAGTAAAGCAGGCGAGGTGGTCACATACAGGGTACCACGAAATGTAAGGGGTATACTAGTCTTAACAGAATATGAAGAGGAAGTGAAAGACTTTAAAAGTCTTTACAAACTTTTAATAAAAACAACACAACCCATTTTTGTATTTTGTATTTTAAGGAGACAAAAAGGCACATATGGTCATAATAAAAAAAAACATTAGTTTCTTCGCCAATATTGCTTATAATTCTTCAAAGGTTACGTAGATTGTAAGAAATGTTTAATTCATATTGTATTCGTATAAAAAATCTCTATTAACAAGCATATATTTGAATATCAATATGATTCAAAAATATGTTTGTCATGCTGAAGTTTTTTGTATTAACAATATAAACTAGTGGGATAGTAATTTGCCATATTAAGCTTGTTATATAATATATATTTCTGATTGAACAAAAACTCATTTTAATGAGGTAGTAATGTTAAACGCTAACATGTAAATCAATAGAAAATGTCCAGCATACAAAATTTTTAACAAGACAATCTAGTTTTGATTTTTTAAGTTTTTTTTTTAAGTTTTTAAAAAAGGAAGTTAATTGAAAGAACTTAAGTCTACGTATTTGAAATTACTTAATTTATAATATTATGGCTTTAATGCTGTAAAAGATTACTAAGATAAGCAGTACTCCCTGCGGAATGTTGAGTGTTGCTGCGGCGGATGACTTTTTGGGGTAGTACACAGTTTTCTTGGAGAGCAGGATGACCTGGGGCGGTCCTTGAGTGGCCTGAACTGCGGGGACAACCGGAACCGGAGCTTGCATTGCCACTGATACTGCAGCGTGGTGGACGACTGCTGGAGCGATTGGAGAAGGAGCAACTGCAGCTGGAGCTGCAACTGGAGCTGCGACTGGAGCAGACACCTGCACCCCTGGAGCCACTGCAGCGGGATCAACAGGAGCAGCTGCAGGTGCAGCAACTGGAGCAGCAGCAGGTGGAGCAACTGGAGCTGGAGGACCGTCCACCGGAGCGGAGATCACCGGGAAGGGCTGGGGCATCACCGGCACGTGGCCAGCACTTGGAGCACTAGCTATCGCAGGAGCTGGCTGATTTGCCTGCTGGAGCGTGGGACATATCAGATGCTCCGTCTCCGTATATACCTTGGGATTATTTGGATCGGGTTCTCGGACAGTTTGCTTATAGCAACCATTGGCTGCAGGGGCTCCGGTTTCGATGATGGTCATCTTCTTGGGATCTGGATGGGCTGGCGCCGCCACAGCAATGGGAGCAGGGGGAATGGGAGCAGCTGCCGGATAGTAGTGATGCACCTGGGCAACGGGAGCAGCAGGAGCAGCTGCTGGAGCCGGCTGGTGCTTGCCCATGGCGTTGCCTAAAACATAACCAGCTAGAGCTCCACCCATAAGACCCATGCCTATATAAAATAGCAGAGAAAATGTGACAAAATTAAAAGCCTTTATTAGCAATTAGGAGAACAAAGTTAGAGTGCGTAAAGAGAAGAAATTGAAATTCCAATTTGTATTTGTTTCTCTTTTTTTAAACAATACTATAAGTGCGGGAAAAATTATCCAAAAAGTTTTTAAATTAAAATTTAATTAATTTACCTGACAAGAGGTTATGCATATTTTTAAAGTGGTTTTTCAATATTTAGTCACTTACCGAGGGAACGTTTTTTACCGCCTTTCGGATGGGCTTGGCTAAATGGCACTAAAGTCAAGCCGAGCAACGCCACTAGCAGAAAAACCTTAATCAGATTGCGACTGGACATGGTAAGATAAAGGAAAACTGGAGCTATAAAATATATTTGGCTAAATCGGAGTTCAAACGTAAACTGATCGCGGTCTTTTCACTCCTGACTCATTTGATCGCTGGCGAAGAATGTTGTTTCAACTTTGCAAATATTTACTCAGTTGGTTTTGGGAAAGTTAACGAATTTTGTCGTATGGCGCATGTTTATAGCTCGCTTAATTCAAATTTCTGCGGCACATGAAACGCCCATTAAACACGCTTGTCGTCTTGTACATTGAGATATATATTTGAGAACGCAGAATCTTTGTATAAGAGATATTTTTTGTTTACTCAAGTTATATTTCACAAGATGGTTAGATTCACTCACACCAAATACTTCTCTTTTAATCGAAGATTTGCTTATTCTTGCGAAGTTTCATCTAATTAACGAGAAGCTTTGCCAAAGTTTCGGGTTAGGTATAAAGTTGTCTAGGGCGCAACTTATACCAGCATACACAAAAAAAGAAAAAAGGTAAAAAGTCTTCACATTCCATTGCAATTTCGCTTTGATTGACTTTTAAACTTAAATGTTTACAAGAAAGGATGCTTATTTCCGCAAGCTAAAGCCAAAACTATGGTCTTCCGATTGTAATAATATTAAAACTGCTTATTTTTAATAAAAATTCACCCATGTTAAAGTTTTGGTTTATTATGATCCACCGGACTAGATTTATTTTTAGAAATTTGTGCTTAAATCGCAGTTTCCCCTAAACCAATTGATTTTCTCAAAGTCTAGGTTGGCACACCTCCGATTTTAAACGATAGCATTCAATCATGTTATATGATAGGCTATATCTAATGGTTGCCTTCGTCACTACGCGGAAAGCAGTTCACTGTAATATAATTTTTGTTGAATTGTGTCTCAGTTCGTTTAAAAGGTACCATCACTTCGAACCCCTATCAACCCCCGGGTTCTGGTTGTTTTGGTGGTGCCTGCTGCTGTTCCTCCAACGGGAGTTGACTTAATTAACCGCCCCAGGTGAGGCTGCCGCAGTCGCTTTCGAGGGAGCGGGTTCAGGTGGGTTCAGGTGAGGTCGCGCCGGGGACAGCAGCAGCAGGTTGGCTTCATTTTGACATGACTGCGTTTTTTTTTTGGCAGCTAATTAGGTACGTTTGAATTAATTAAATATCAAAAAGGGCAATTTCATGGAAATTTTCCCAACGATTCTCAATTTGCATTTGTGGAGTGCAAGCGGTCGTCCATGGCGAGCCAGTTAGATGAAATCTATAGTATTTTATTTGAAATTTTATTCCCATGTTAACAGTTCTATTATCCTTGCGGCTATATCGGAACACCATCCCCCGATTTGCCAGACCAGCGAACTGCGAGAGCCGCCGTTTGATAAATCGCAGCATTTACGTGTGTGCGCCCAGGCAAATATATCAGCCGGGCAAGGTCATAAATATTAATTGTGTTTCGGCGGAGGGACTGGCGATGGAGCTGGGAGCACACTTCAACACTGGGGAAAACAATTGAAAAATTTTAGATACCTCTAAGTCTAATACTTGGGGATTTTTCGTTGAAGATACAAATTCAAAACAATATTTCTCAATCATGATTAATTTTATACTGAGCAATTGAAGAACTGGAAACTGGAAACAAAAAATATAAAATATGTTGTATAACAAATTTATTTATTTATTTAATTATTTATTTACAAACTGTAAGCTTAAAGTTATAAACTAAAGTTACAGCGGGGATTACCGGCCATATCTACTATGGCTTTGGGATTTATATTAGCTTAATTAGGGTTCAACTTCATGAATCTTTTAGTTTCTTTAGTCATTTTACAAATGTTTGCTATAGTATGAATAAAATTGTTTTTAAATTAGGATATATAGTTTTTTTAGAGGAAGCTAATGCAATGAAGTCCAGGTTTCAATGGCTAATATCTCTGGACTTTTCCCTGTGTATGGGGAGTGGGTTCAAGACCTATCCTTAGTTTGCATGTCTCGCCGTTGTGTTGTTGTATTGTTGTGGCGGCCTGTGCCCGTCGGCTAGGTGTTGTTGCCCGCTGTTCCCGGTCCGATGCCATTATCAATCGATCGAACGCGAGCTGCATTTGCTTAGCGGTTTGCGCATGACCGAGCCCCAATCGAAGGCAAATACATCGCATATTGCTAATAAATATTCAGAGCTCGAGTGGTGCGGCAGTGGATTATGTTGTGATGGCGCACCGATGTCCTGGCCCCAAAACACCAGTGACAAACTATAGGACCTGGCAAATGTTTGCAGAGCAGCCTGACCGATAGATTTGTCCGCAAAACTTTCATTAGCCCGAGTCGAACTTTAAGCCAGCTTCAAGTCGCCTGCAGTCAGGAGTTATTCATAAGCGTGGAGTGCCTTGTAGTCGAGTGGAGTGGTCGAGTGCTGCTGTGATTAATATCCCAGGAATGCAGTTTATTGTTGCGCGACGACAACAGCAACGAAGCTGCAGTTGCTGCTGTTGTTGCACTGGGTTGGGGGCTGGGGGTGTGGCAGTGGGAGACACATGGCAGGAAGGTAGCACCACCACATGGACTGGGGTCAGCGCAGCCAACGGAACCCACATTGCAAGAAAATATCATCAGGTTTAATAACTAAATTTAAGGATTTATTCAAACTTCGGAATGTAATAAGTCGATAGCGATACTTTTCGATCGGTATATCAATCCTTCCGATCAGATAATCTCAGCAGATATATATATCATATTAAGGTCTTAAGTCTTAATTTTTAATGGACCTAATGTAACTTTATCCAGTTGGTAGAGAATTGATTAACAGGAAGATAAAAACAAAAAGATTTAAGTCGAAAATTCAAAGTTAGAACTTTAGAGAAATGTAAAAAAATAAATTCTTTTTTTTAATTACAACGTGTACATTTCAAAACTACAAAAAAGAAAAATACTTTAAAATTATACTTGTTTTTTGTATTTAAAATCTGTATAAATCTGTTAAAATTGTTCTGCTCCAATAGTTTTCAGTGCATCCACATTATGAAGAGGCTCGCGTCTTTTTCTAAGGCCGCGAGGCGACGCAAATTTGTGTGCATTATATTTTTCGTTTTTGTTGTATTTCCCTGGATTTTCTTTGGCTGTTTTTGTTGCCGGTAAGGTTTTTCCTCAGCTATTTTAGCTCAGTTATAAATTACGTCGGCCATTCGCACGAGTGTGTGTGTTGCATAATCTGAGTTCTGAAATCTTTGGCATCCACTTGAGAGCAAATGCAAACAGCGCTGGGGAGGATGAGACGGGGGCATCCAGAACCTATTGTTCTAGAGGCCCCACAATGGAGCTGGGGAATCGGTGCTGCTGCAGAATGACCGCCACTCTCATAATAGAGTCATAAAATTTTAGTGCGCCGCTTGGCCAACTCACCGCTCGACCCGCGATATCGGGGAACCCCCGTGGCGCCTCGGAGTCGAAACCGTTTCGCTTTGTTGGCCATTGTCCCGACCATTTACTCGGACCATAGAAATATATAATTGTGATTAATTATACGACATAAAAGTGCTTTAGATTCAGCATTTTGATGCATTTATTAACCGAAAAATCACTTGAAACTCTCCACTGCGCAATCTCTTTCTCCGCTGGATCTATTATCAATTGTAATAAAAGTTGGCCTTTCAAATTTTAGACCGTCATTATTTGGGGCGTTGCTGCTGCTGCGGGCTTTATGGATTATACACGATATGGGGTAGACCTAAATAAGTAGTTGCGAAAATTGATAACAGTGTTGATCCTATAAGAGACTACTAAAGTTTAAGTTTATTTACGCTTCACAGGTTTATTGGTTTTACCAACTGGTCACAGCTTCAAAATATCATAACTTTTCATAGGAGATTATTTGGAGTCCATTTACTATAATTTGATCAATGGGCATTTATAAAAGTAGCGTTTTAAAACTGCTTTTTTTTTGCTTTAGGATGATCAGGTTATGAAATGTGCAATCTTGAATATTAAATTTGTATTCTGCTTGTATTTTTATACCCTTGCAGAGGGTATTATAATTTTGGTCAAAAGTGTGCAACGCAGTGAAGGAGACGTCTCCGACCCTATAAAGTATATATATTCTTGATCAGGATCACCTCCTGAGTTGATATAGCCATGTCCGTCTGTCCGTCTGTCCGTCTGTCCGTCTGTCTGTTTCTACGCGAACTAGTCTCTCAGTTTTAAAGCTATCGAATTGAAACTTTGCACACACCCTTCTTTCCTTTGCACGCAGTATATAAGTCGGAACGGCCGGGATCGGCCGACTATATCCTATAGCTGCCATATAACTGATTGATCGGAAATGCCATAACTTTCGTGTTTGTAAAGTTAGGAAGTTGAGATTTTCTATGGGTTTTATATTTGGCCAATCAATCCGACCTACCAAATTTCATAAGGATCGGCCGACTATATCCTATAGCTGCCATATAACTGATTGATCGGAAATGCCATAACTTTTGTGTTTGTAAAGTTAGGAAGTTGGGATTTTCTATGGGTTTTATATTTGGCCAATCAATCCGACCTACCAAATTTCATAAGGATCGGCCGACTATATCCTATAGCTGCCATATAACTGATTGATCGGAAATGCCATAACTTTCGTGTTTGTAAAGTTAGGAAGTTGGGATTTTTTATGAGTATTAAGAATGCATTATATGAATAATTTTGGAGAATATATAATTGGAGAATATATAATTTACAGAGTATTCTGCAAGGGTATATCAACTTCGGCTCCGCCCGAAGTTAGCTTTCCTTTCTTGTTTATTTATAGTTTATTTAGTTTAAATACCTCTCTTTTTATACCCTTGCAGAGGGTATTATAATTTCAGTCAAAAGTTTGCAACGCAGTGAAGGAGATATTTCCGATCCTATAAAGTATATATATTCTTGATCAGCATCCCTAGCCGAGTCGATCTAGCCATGTCCGTCTGTCCGTCCGTCCGTCCGTTTCTACGCAAACTAGTCCCTCAGTTTTAAAGCTATCTGCTTGAAACTTTCCCAAAGGTTGTCTTTCTATTGCAGGTAGTATATAAGTCGGAACGAGCCGGATCGGGCGACTATATCATATAGCTGCCATATAACTGAACGATCGGAAAAGCCATAACTTTGGTGTTTGTAAAGTTAGGAAGTTGGGATTTTCTAAGAGTTTTATTTTTGGCCAATTAATCCGACCTACCGAATTTCATAAGGATCGGACGACTATATCCTATAGCCGCCATATAACTGATTGATCGGAAATGCCATAACTTTGGTGTTTGTAAAGTTAGGAAGTTGGGATTTTCTATGGGTTTTATTTTTGGCCAATCAATCCGATCTACCAAATGTCATAAGGATCGGCCGACTATATCCTATAGCTGCCATATAACTGAACAATTGGAAATGCCATAACTTTGGTGTTTTTAAAGTTAGGAAGTTGGGACTTTCTATGAGTATTAAGAATACATCATATGAATAATTTTGAAGAATATAATTTACAGAATATTCTGCAAGGGTATATCAACTTCGGCTCCGTCCGAAGTTAGCTTTCCTTTCTTGTTCATTATTATTAAGTTCACTACCTCAGGTTAAAATATTCTCATTGCATTCATCGGCATTTGACCCCTGTTCCATTATTCTTGATCAAAATCAGGTTAAACAATTACTTGCAGTTATTGATTAAACAGGAGGTCGCACGTTGGTTATATTTTAATTTCTTCTATAACACAACGTTTTTCCAATTACACGTTAAGCAATTACTATTTAAAAACTGTTTTAAACAAGAAGATCTTCTAATAGCTCTGCTTAAATCATATCAGCCCGCTTTACCAGAGCAGATTGTACTTCAAAGAGCCTCTATTGCAGAACTTGTCTTCCTAGGAGGAACCTTAATTGAGTTCATACGACGCATTTTTGATTGTCAGCGTTGTCATGGCCAACGGACGCGTTGCCGGCGGACGGAATGGAGTACATCGCGGCTCGGGACAGAGAGCTCCAGCGACAATGGAGCACTCGAGGAGCTGGCTTCGTTATCACACAGAACATGGCAGCACATGGGAATTGCTGCCTCCTGGTGACGACGGCAGTCAGAGGGACAATGGATGGGCCGGGAGCCTTGGGGGCAGGAACTATGTTCGAGTATTCGGACAAGAGCCATAGGCATAGGAAGAGGCGAAGACAGGGGCAGAATCCCTGACAAGAGCAATCCATCCACAAAGGCAAAGGCATTTCATGCTCATCAAATGCGTTGACATTGAACAATTGCGCGTAATGTTGTCGTACACTTGACAAGCGCGCAAATTGTAGTGCTACCTGTACTTGAGCGGAAATCTTGCTCAAAGCGAAAGCTGCACCACTAGATTCGGTCCCCCGAAATCGATCTCCGTTTGGTCTAGCCGAAAAGCATCCAACTGCATTTGATGGAAATTGGCAGAGTTGTCTGTCTGTCTGATTGTTGCGACTTTTGCCGTTTGCCGTTTGCAGTTTGCTGTTTGTGGCCTTAATGAAGCGGACGACATTCACCGGACAAGCTCCGCTTCCACTGCCCCAACGTCTCTGCCACATCCACATCCACATCCAGTTTCCACGTCGGAGCCACTCGCCAAATATGCGGCGACAAGTCCTCGCTAAATGCTATCCAGATTAATAAGTCCCAGCCGTGTGGGTGATGTGCGCCGCATGTGGAGCGAGATACGATAGGAAAAGTCAAAAGTCGACCCGGGCCAGACGTTCTAGGCGATATTTTTTGGTACACTTAAACAAAATGTAACTTTAACCTTCGATGCTTGTTGTGTTTTTTAATTAGTCGAGAAGAGTACCGAACACAATACATTTTTTTCCAGTGTTTTAAATTAAATTAAAGTAATAATAATTGAAAAATCTTTCTTAAGTTTTTAAAAGTACTAAAATTGTTTTTTTGTTTTTAACCTTGAGGAATTTATAGTTATAAACGTTTTTGAAAACTTTCATTATAAAATAAGACTTTTGAGATTGAATATTATTCACTTTAAGTAAACTTATTAGGTCAATTAAGAAATATAGAAAAATAGCTATTCTGCCTAAATAAAGCAGAACAACTTTTTAAGTTCTTAACTTTTAAATGGTGAGTATATACTTTAAATATAAAATATTTATTTACCTTTTCACTGTTTTCAGAAATTGAAAAATATAAGTTATATTTTGTCAAAGCTTTTGATTTCCAAGCTTGATTCCCAAATTTTTTGTTAATAAAAAGTCCGAACGGTAGTCGTCTCCATTGTTACAAAAGATTACAAAATATTTTTCAAGGTGCATGCCCCCCACCTTCGACTTTGGGGCTACCAAATTTGGCGAAGGCAATATTTTGTTCGTTTGGCAGGCCGTTAGAGATTTGCAAAAGGTAAAACTGTAAAATGCATTTCGGTTTGCCTTAAATGGAGCGGGGAAAAAGCGGCAGAACGCACGATAACGAAAGAAAAGTGCAAACATTGTTGCAGAACCGCACCGAGTGTGCAAATTTGCCTTTCGATGCCGGCCAGCAATCCGCAGACTGGTAACATGCATTCGAAACCGGGCCTCACAACAATGGTTCAACAATGGCAGAGTGGCAGCGAGGAGGAGGAAATCTGCTCGACTCGATAATCGCCTGGCACTCGAAGGCTGCTCCTATGATTTTAAGTGGACGGTATTCCGGAGTATTCGCCAATAATTGCAGTTGCAAATATGAGTTTTCCACATTTTCCTTTTTCCATTTCCCAGGCCGAGGCCTGGGCAGCTGCGAAGTTCTCGGCCGGCAATTGCCGTAATGAGCAATAAGTTCCTTCGTTATTTATTCAGTAATTCCACACTTCGTATGCGTATAAAACTGTTTGCAATTCCAGGTCACTCGACACACCTAGTATTTGCATTGGATGGAAAGATGACCGAGCAGCAGAGTGAACTGAAAAAAGGCAATTGGGATCGATTTTGGAGTCCATTCCTTGAAGCCTGGGCGTTGTTCAAGGATCCCGCGGCTCAATCCACACATATTATTGCCTACTTGGCTCGGGACCAAATGAAGTTTGTCTTTAGTCCTGTCAATAACTTTGAATTAAATTAAAATTGTTTTATAGGGCCTTGTGTTTTTACACAAACTCTGAGGAACGTCGTGTGTCAAGGAAAGTGATCTGGCATTATTATATTGTGATCCAGCTCGCCATTAGCCTGGTGAGCCTGTGCCTCGGCGTTCTTGAGTCCATGGATGATATTGCCAGCCTGGGACGAGATTTGGTCTTCACAATAACGGTTCGAAGGAAATGGTGTATCTTTTGCAATCTGTCATTAACACAAACCTAAACTCTTAGACCATATTCATATTCCTAAGAATAGTGTTCTTTGCTCAGTATGCCGATGATTTGGATGTGGTTATAGATGCCCTCGAGGACATTTATCATTGGAAGATAAAGGGCCCAGGAAGTGAGGAAGTGCGTGTCACCCAGCGTATTCGCTTCTTGATGTTTATGAGCTTGATAGTGGCTTGGTTTATCTTTCTTATATCATTCATCCTGATAAAAATATCAACGCCCTTTTGGATGGAATCGCAAATACTGCCCTTTCACGTCGCCTGGCCCTTTCAACTGCACGATCCCTCGAAGCACCCGATTACCTATGCCATTATCTTTGTAAGTCAAAGCACCACCGTGCTCTATTGGCTGATTTGGCTCGGGGCTGTGGAGAACATGGCCGTGTCCATCTTCTTCGAGTTGACTTCTTCTCTGAGGGTACTTTGCATCGAGCTGCGTAACCTGCAAGAACTCTGCCAAGGCGATGAGAACTTGCTGGCAAGAGAGCTTTTTCGACTTACCAAGTTCCATCAGCGAATCATTTCGTAAGTTGCTTAAAAACTTCAATAACAATATACGGTATATATCTTTGCTTGATTCACAGAATATCCGATAGTTGTAACAATATTTTCAATGGAGCATTCATCATGCAAATGCTGGTAAATTTCGTTTTAGTCTCATTGTCTCTTTTTGAAGTTTTGGTAGCCAGAAAGAATCCTCAAGTGGCAGCCGAGTATCTAATTGTCATGTTGATGACTCTGGGTCACCTCTCATTCTGGTCGAAATTCGGAGATATGTTTTCCGAGGAATCCGAGCAAGTGGCCTTGGCAGTATATGAGGCTTATGACCCCACTGTAGGTTCCTTTAAAATCCATCGCCACTTTCGGTTTTTTATTCAAAGAGCCCAAACCCCACTTATCATGAGCGCAAGTCCTTTTCCATCATTTAACATGGTGAATTACATGTTTGTAAGTACATTTTCAAACTGCTCCATGACAGTTATTAAAAACTTTTATTTGCAGATACTAAAGCAGTGCTATTCAATTATGACTCTATTGACAAGAACGTTGGAGTAAAATTAATATTATCATCATATTAATAATATTCATATTAATAATTTTTTCAGTATTTAACTTTTGAATTTAAATTTAAACCAAATGCCTATCATTATATACAGATGTAGTTTCAACTTATATGCACAATGCTTGTCAAACAATAGCACAACTGCACTTACAACTTTATTAAAACACTTCCCATCTCTGGAAATGATATCGACTATTTTGGGCCACTCGAAGAAAGTTCTGCAAAGAGCCTGCATTTTATGCATGCGACCCCAAAAGGTCACTCCAGCACTCGTTTCAACGTCGAAGAGTGGTCCGAACCGGCGGAAGATTGGGCCCATAAATTGCAATTGTGTGCGGGGCTCGAACTGGAAGCTGGTTTTCTTTCAGACCAATGGTTGCTGGCTGCTGGTTGCTGGCGTTTGACTGCTCCGTCATTAGCTTGATTGAATCTTATTGTTGGCAATTAACCTTCGCTGCGATGGGGCCAAACGTCTGAGGGTCTGCGGGGCTACGATCCTGACATTTTGCAGCATGGAGTAGGACGAGGCGAATAACTCTATTTGCCACGACAATATGGCATAACATGTCATCTGCCTGGGCCACACTAATTGCCAGCGACAAGCAGCCCCAATTAATTAGCAAACGCCAACGGATTAGGCCAATAACCAATATCCGATATACTCCCAACTCTCATTTGCATCTGCACAAGCAAAAACCTGTCAGGCCAAGCCACGAAATGTATAAATCGAACTAACAGTCTACTCCGGATTATGGGGTTTTAAACAAATATTTAGCCAAAAATATTAACTAACCTTACTTAAGGACCTACATTACTTAGGTCTTAACTTGTCCTTTTAATAACCAATTGCAAAGAAATAAATCATCAAAAGCTTGTAGGCTAATTCGTTTTTCATGTCTAATAAAATAAATATTATTTTTTTAATTTTGGACCTATTTATTGCCATTTATTAAAAAAATTGTTCCCCTTTATAAGATATATAATTTGGCTTTGGAGAAAAGTGATTCAGAACTTGTGTTGCTTAAAATCAATTAATATTCATTGTCTGTAAAACTACTTTAAGAGTAAGATTTCCAATTCACGGTCATTTCTTCTTATCATGTCTTTACTGAACCCAAATCAATCATATAAATATTATTTAATTTTATAGTTTAGATATGGCTAATGTTTGGGAATCCAAAATAGTAGGATCCACTGTGCGGCGACAAAGTTGAACATCAAACTATTTGTCAGACTGCAGTTTCTTTTTTACTTGTTGTGGCTCATTTAAGACCCACTTCCTACTTACGTTTGAATATTCGCTATTGCAATTGCAATTGCATTTCGCCTGTGTTTATTTACTTAGTCGACTCCTTGAGCTCACCTCCCCTCCACACAGAAAGCCAACTGCTTAGCCGTTTTCCATCTAAATTGCATGCAGCGCCTTTGTCATGACATGACAGCAGCCTAATTCATCATTATGGCTACACAGGACCGACTGCATCGATGGAGCTGGAACTGGGGGATCGGTTTCGGGCATCGGGAATCGGGGAGTGGGAATCGAGGAGTGGGGATTGAGAGAGTTTTGTCGCGACTTTCGCTAGACGGTTGGCATGAGATGCAGTTGCGAACTGCAAGTTTTGCATCTCAGCTGCGATCTCGGTGGACTCCGACGTGATTCATTCATGCGCAGTAGTTGGATTTTACGCTTGCATGCAGCTGGCAACGATGATGATAATGATGATGCATGCGCCCGGGCTTAGGAGCTGGTTAGATTCACTGGTGGATGAGGATGTGGATGTGGATGTGGCAGGGGGTGCAATGGGATGCACTTTAGAAGGCAAAAGTGCACTGTCGATAGGCTGATGATTCGCCTGTCGACATTCAACGAGCCGGGCCAAGACGACGACATTATCGTCGGCAGAAGTCAGGGATGTCAGTGGGAGCTTCGGGACCAGCTCAGTTATTTGTATGGTTTATTATCGCTGCACAATATCGCTTATTGTGGGGGCCTGTCGAGGGGCCGCGGGAAAGTTATTGAGGGCCCCAGCCCCTCGAAGTGAAACTTCTGAGACGCACACTCAAGTCTCGCAGAAGTATGAATCTGACTTACGACGCAGGATTTAAATGGGTTCAAACGGAGTCAAGTACACTTGGGAAAACGTCCCACAAAGGTGTATTAAAACAATTCTAAACACTTTATAAAGAAGAAAATTTAACGTAGTTAGGAATAAAAACATTTGTTTAATACTCAATATAAATACTTAATTACAAGATATTAAAAACATTAACCATTCGCTGAAATCTATTACAGTGATAATTATTTCAAATTCTTATTATTAGGAAAATTAGAGTTTTTTGTAAAATCGTACTTTTCAAAAGTTTCAAAAATGTAAAAGGAGATAATATTAAATGCCAAGAAGGTGGCTGAATCTTTCAGAACGAGTTTTACATACATACTTTTCTCATTAAAATAAGACCTAAAAAATTGTATAACCATTTGCATATTATTTCTTAGTACTCCTTACTATAACTGCACTTGTCCCAAGTAAATATTATTTATTTTATAATTTAATCAAAAACCACATCTTGCCTTCTCCCGATATGCTTTATTTCCGCTGCTGCCAAGTGAAACAGCTTGAGTATTAGATCCTTATCGACTGGCCAAAATCGTGTGACATTGTAAATCGGCGAGAATAACCGACCCAGTTAGTAGGCCCGACTCTTCGGCCGCTTTTCCTACACCCAATTTGCTGACATGCGCCAATTCCCGCGAAAACAGCGAAAAGGTGTCAGACATTCGGTCCGGATTCGGTGGCTGGCCTCTTAATCATCGAACCGTACAGGACAAATGCCATGCACGACTTCATTATTAGGCAGCCCCGTATGCACATCATCATCGCTGGCATGGACTCGTGACATGGCCTCCAGATTGGGGCTAGTCTGGCAGCAGCTCTCTGATTAGTTTTCCCCGGCTCCTCGGCTCATTTCCCTCTCATCAAGACACGAAAATGTCCCTCAAATTTGTTTGTCAACCCAGAGGAGCGAGTCCATTAAATTCCTACTGGCTTCTGGGGGCCTGTCGCTAATGAAGTCATAAAACCGCATGACATTTTCGATGCCTCCGAGGAAAGCCCCACGGATCTCACTTTTTGTCAGACGATCTTGTTGGTCTTGTATACACACAATTGCCCGCTGTCCGGGCAGTTCAATCGTTCCAATATGCAAATGCCCATTCACCCGCCGCCACCCACGGACTAAGTGAAGAAAAGGAAAGAAAAGAAGCGGTCGGGAGTCACTGCTCCGATCCATATGACCATATGTTCATATCGGGCCCGAAATCTTTCGCTTTCGATTGCGCCAAGCTGCGCCCTCCGACCAACTTCACTCAACCCACCTCGACTTAGCCCGGCTTTATCTGCTCCAAGCCGATTTTCTGCATTTCATTTCGTTTCGCCGGCCTCGCTTCGTGCTGAAAATATGCAAAAATGCTGCAATCTGCGGACAGCACGTTCGGAGGGCCTTTCGTGTCATAAATGGCATAAATATTCCTTCTTGACCGGGCAACCTAAATATTTCCAGCTCTGCAGATGCTGCTCTCCTCGCTGAGGTGAAGGGAAAAAAATGCATTTTATAACAATGCGAACTTTCCCTTTTTTCAGTTTCGGCAGATCTTCACCGAAATCGAAATTAAATCGTTTTTTCATTTTTATGTGCTGGCTGATAACACTAGTTAACATGAAAAAAAGAGTACTTTAAAACTAATTTTGTAAGACCAATTTGGTCGCATTGATCCGATCATAATTAAATTATTGAAAGTTATAATATAAAAAATATACATTTTTGTACATTACATGATCGTAAGAGAACGTGTTTCAGTTCATGTTCAAGGAAGGGTATGTTCTATGATATATAAACACTTCATCCATTTATAAAATTTATAAATGCGATTAGAGCTTTGCAAAGCAGATGTTAAGTTTTCGCACAGTAATTGCTTTTAATGGCCGTTATTGTTTGCTATTACCACAAAATAAAAAAATTATAGTCGGGGGTGGCACAATAATCTTTTCGGTGGAACTTTGTATTTGCTTTATACAGATTGTTGGAAGATCAACTTGATATTAGCCATATAAACTCAGAAAGCTTTTTATTTTTGATCAGTTCTATTAAAAAGCTAGTTATTAAAGGCAGTCAATTTTCTTGTGATATTTATTATAAATTATTATAAATTTATAAATTTATAAGTTCTAAACAAATTCCAAAGAAATTCGAAATAATTAGGTAACTTAATCATATTTTATTTATAGTTTAACTTTGTTTTGGAAAACGAGGTTGTTAAGTTTTTTTGCTTTGGAAGATTGAAGTTAAATCGTTTTTTATTATAATGAGTTGGTAAATTATTGATGTTCGATTGTGGGGTTCGAGTTTAAGGAAATTAAATATGAGGAAATATACAAGAACTGATTCCATATGTAAATTTGTGGAAGCCACTAGAGCTTTGAAAAGCACATGTTAAATTCTCGCCCAGTAATTGCCATAATTGGCAATAATTTTATACTTATTAACACACATAAAATAAATTATATCATGTGGTGATCAATTTGATATTAACATCTTGGAAAAGTTTATCTTTTGTAAAACTTATATTTTACATGTAAATTCCACATTTTTTAAAAATGCTTAACTGATTAAGGAATGATTTCAAAATATATTCCTTATTCTAAACAATATGTTTTAATGCAAAATTTTTCTTTAGAAGCTAATGGGAGTTTCAATGGAATTGTGAATTGTTTATTTTTTTTTTCTGTGCACTTTTATTTAACAGTACATCATTCTGTTCTCCGGGCATTCAAAATACGGAAGGGCTTCGAAATGGACTTGCGTAGCAATTTTCAACGTTTTTCACAATTGTTTAGAGTCGGGTGGAAAGTGTTTCGAGACCCTCAACTGGAATCTAGGCACACACCGTCACATTACTGCAGGGAGCAGATGAAGTCTGTCTAATAAGGAACCGATCGTGGCATAAAAATGATTAAAAATCTCCTTGCAGGGCGCTGGTTTTATACACAAGCTCAGAGGAACGCCAGCTGCCCTACCGATCCCTGTGGCACACTTTTGTGGTTATTCAACTGTCCTTGTTTTTCGTCTCACTGTGCTACGGGTTAACTGAATCCATTGGGGACAGTGTTCAAATGGGCCGGGATTTTGCATTCATTATTGGGGTACCAAATAGCTACTTCATTTTAACTCGAATCATAAATAACTAAGATCCTTTTGTTAGACATTTTTTATTACATTTAAGGTTTATTATTTTCACTGGTTTGGTGATGATCTGGACGAGGTGATTAACAACTTGGAGGCATTCCATCCTTGGGCACGAAAGGGTCCTGGTGCAATTGATATACGCGCTGGCAAGCGCTGGAACTTCCTGGTGGGCTTTTTTCTGGCATCGTTTTGGTCGCTCTTCTTGGCCATCTTTGTCACATTATTAATGACATCACCCATGTGGATCCAGCAGCAGAATCTTCCCTTTCACTCGGCTTTTCCCTTTCAATGGCACGACAGGTCAACTCACCCTATCACCCACGCCATAATCTACTTGTTTCAAATTTTTGTCATGACATATGGCATAATTTGGCTTCTTTCAATGGAAGGCCTATCTGTAAGCATTTACATGGAACTGATTTTTGGCATTGAAGTTCTATGCCTAGAACTACGCCTCCTTAGCCAGAGATGCCATAGCGATGACGAGATGAAATTGGAGACGACACGCTTAGTCAAATTTCATCAGACGATTATTGAGTAAGAATTGACATATGTACTGACTTAAATCAGAACTAGAAAGTTCTTAAATGGTTTTTTAATAATTTTTTTAAAATCTTCTAGAATTTTAGATCGCACTAACAACGTGTTCCACGGGACCCTCATCATGCAGATGTCAGTTAACTTTTGCCTGGTCTCTGTATCGGTCTTGGAGGCTATGGAGGCCCGCAGAGATCCCAAGGTGGTGGGCCAGTTTGGAGTCCTCATGTTGCTGGCGTTGGGTCATTTGTCCATGTGGTCGCTGTTTGGAGATAAGTTGTCTAACGAGTCATTACAAATTTCGGAGGCTGCTTATGAGGCGTATGAACCGACTAAAGGATCTAAAGAAGTTTATCAAGACCTCCGCTTCATAATTCAACGAGCCCAACACCCGCTAGTGATGAGAGCCAGTCCCTATCCGTCTTTTAATTTAATAAACTACGCAGCTGTAAGTTTTTTCTTAGCAAAAACATAAATATAAAACTGTTATACATAAATTATTATTCATTTTGTAGATACTCAAACAATGCTATGGAATCTTGACATTTATGCTTAAAACTCTGGATTAATAACTTCAATTTTCTGTGTATCTCGGCTTTTTATCTGTAATGCATAAATATTGCACTGACCATTAGTATTTGCCCCCAAATAAAACAAAAATATCGAATTTTAATAGGATTTTGTTTATTTGTTTTGTTTTTATTTTCTTTTTGTATTTTGTGTGCCTAAATTATTTCTGCACAAGTTAATGAGTTTGTTATGAAAACTATGAAGTATTTATTTTTGTTTTGTTTACATTTCCACGTAATTAGTTGGCTAATCTAAACATTGGAACATTTTGAGTTGCTCGTAGTAATTTTTTGCTCGTCTTTTCATAATTTACTTGATGTTTGAGTTTTTAATTATAAATGCTAATTACGATTATTTTTATTGTGGGATAGAGGGGAGTGGGCAAAAGTGCGTTTAATGAATAAATATTTAAAATACAATATTGCAGTTGTTCTTTCATCTTGTAAAACTAATAAATGCCAAACAAATGCATTCGAATGCAGCATTCGTAAGTCGAATTAATTAACTGGCTTAATCATATTTTATCTCTCGTTTTACTTGTTTGTACATAGCGACGTTGTGACTTAAATGACTAGTCTTTGGTTGTGTGTTGTCGTTAAATGTTATTGTTAAATAAAAACTTGAACTTTGCGTTTGCTTTGAAGAGGAATGTTTTGTTTTTTGTTTTTATTGAGTTGAAATAATGCAATATTTAGTTGTTGAAGAAACTTTCTGTTGCACGCTCCTGCAGCTTATTGCTAATTGGAGCGGATTGCAAAAAATATTTACAATTTATGTACAATGGCGCGAGTTTTTTGTTTACGTTTGCATTTACATTTAAGTTGCTGCAATGTTTGATTGTTTTAAGTACTTGTGTTGGCTTGTTGAGCTTATGTTTGATATGCTTGTCATGGGTTTGCTATTACGAGTGCCTATTTAAAAATGCAAATGCTATTAGATGCTTGAGCTCATAATTTGATTAATGATTTAGCGAATGATGTTGCCAGTTTTTTGCCGGACTTTCTCTTCAATTTTCGCTTTAACGTTATTTGTTTTTTGCCTGTTTCAGCTTGCGAGGGCCATCCAGAACCCATTTGCTCTCGTCATTGCGAAACAAGAGCGGAATGAAGTGAAAAGCCACAAAGTTGTGGCTCAATGCCTGTCCCGGACAGTCCCCCAAATACGGCTCAGATACAGTTACACACAAAGCTCAAGCCGAAAATGTCTATTTAAACAAAAAAGAAGTGGTAAATGTATGGGCTCCCCCGTATCGACTGGGCCATACCCTTTGAGACTGCTCATGTGCCCTATAAGAGACTCGATTCGGTGTACCCAATATTTTCGAGGGTGCTGCGATTTAAACTTGTGGCATCATCGGCAGTTGCCAGTTGGGTGCAAACAGAAAGCACGCCCTTTATTTGCTTTAATCCGACAAAATCCCTGTTCTAATGCCGTTCGGCAATAAAGGATGAAACGTGCATGGCATGTAAAGAGCATGTCCTGTGGCCATACCGCAACCCTCTCGCCTGTCTGCCTCGGTAGTTTGCGAAACGGAAACGGAAGTGACACTAAATTCGTTTCGGTTTTCCCAATTGGCGACACACACACAGACACACACACACAGGCACACACGGATAGGGAGTCTCTCCGGATGAACTGGCGAAAATAAACTTCACAAAATTGTTACGTGTAATCCCCTTTATGATCTGCGCCATACCATGTGGGCTGCATCTTAAGTGGGTCCGCAGACCACATCTCCACCTCACTGCTGCCAGATCCAGGCGCAGTTCTGGCCCGTCTCTCAGCTGGCTATGACCATGGTGGCGGCCGAGGCTCCTGGTGGCCAGTTGGTGGCTCCGGAACTGCCGGTTTCCTGCGGCATCGATGCGGATCCCAGCGAGGACAAGGAGCTGCTGCTGTTCGCCGAGTGCAGCTGCTGGGGCTGATGGTATTCCGGCTCCTCGTAGGCGGCATCCTCATCACAATCGTGCGGATACAGTGGCACATGGTGGTGCGTGTGGTGGTGGTGCGTATGTGAGTGGTGCAGATGCTGCTGTTGGTATGGATGGAAGTAGTGGTTCGACTGCTGCTGTTGCTGCGGTTGCAACTGTTGCTGTTGCTGCTGCTGCTGCAGTTGCTGCTGCTGTGGGGCAGGCGGTGAGGTCGACGAAGGCGATGCACCACCTGAAGGTGGGTGGGGCAGTGGCAGTGCCAGTGGCAGCGGCAGCACCACCGGCAGCGGTTGCAGACCTCGTATACTGTCCGCCGGGTGGGCCGTGTAGATGTTGCTCCTCCTCAGGTGGTTGTTGTTTATGTTGCTGCTGCTGCCGTTGTGGTGGTGCGCATTGCCAGCGGCACCACCCGCCGTCCCGCTCGCCCCGCCCCCACCGTTCAGCCCGTTGCCGTGGGCGCGCTTGTTGCGGGACCACCATTGCACGTGCGTGTCTGCTTGTGGAGAAACCGATGCAGATGGCACACAATAACACACGAGATGGGTACCGGAAAATAGACAGAAAAGAGGGGGGGTGGAGAAAAACGGGGGGTTAGTTGGTGGGTCACAGTTGCGAAAACAGTCTCCGAATGTTGTGAGAGTCAACACCGGTAAAGGCCTTATAATGGCCAACAGTGGACACAGTGGAAATGGTTTATATATTTATTATAGTTTAAGCTTTTTTGAAATCCTCCTTACACATTATATTTTCTCAAAGATTTTTTTGGATTCTTTCTTGAAATGTGTAAACAAATTTTGGATTTTTTCTGTTTACATCTAACTATGTTCGCATTTGAGCTGTTTGACAGTTTGATATAATCTAACGAAATCAGAACTTAACACAAATAGGTGTCAAAATTACATAAAAAATTTTTAGGGAAAATAATAAAAAACCCGGAAATATATTGCCTCATCTTTTATTTCACTATCCTGAAACTAAGAAATTTTTCTTGTTGGAATTTATGTTGTCATTCTTTATTTTGAATCCACTGTGCCCACTGTGTTTGCCATCCGCCCACTGTTTTTGGCCAAGTTGGCAATGTGGCCATGTGAGTACTCACCGTTGCGATTGTTGGAGGACTTTTTGCGCCGGCAGCGCACCACGGCAATCATGATGATGGCGCCTAGCAGCGCCGACAACACGGACACGATGATCAACGTCAGCGGCCAGCCCAGTTCTGTGGCCTTTTCTGTAAAAACAAACCGAAAAGATGGGGAAAAGAGTAATGGTTACTAACGGGAGTTACGCAGTTCTCAACTCCCATTTTTAAACTGAGAAAAATTATACTAAGTAATACTTTTCAGGCCTGATATTTAGTTTACCATACCCATATTTAATTTTTAAGATGAGCATTAATATACTAAAGGCTTAAGAGCCTTAAATTTAATTATGTTTAAGCTGCGTAAATTGAAATTAATTCAAATTAAAAAGAGTTTAGAAAATCTTCTTTAAAAGAAGGTAATATTTAATAACATAGTGAAAAGTTTAGACTTAAAAGCCCTTTAGTTCTTAAAAAGTTTAAGACTTAATTTCAAGAAAAATTAGGTAGTTACACAACATTTGAATTGATTTTTGATAAATGTTTAAATTACAAGATTGGTTAAATTCATTTTTACAGTACTCAAAGTCCTCAATTTTTGAATTGAACTTGTACTTCACTTTTTCCCCCAGTGCATCCCGTTTTGCATTCGAACTCACCTATCGTGCCCTCGAACATGAAGGTGCTCTTGGTGGGCATCGCCCAGGAGCATAAATCACACGTGGTCAGGCCGTCGCTGAGCACCGGCTCGTCGACGAAGAAGGGCGGGCGGGGCGGGGGCGGCACGAAGCGGCCGTTCCACAGACCCTGCTCGCTGGCATCGAAGGCCATTGGCGAGCCGAACAAGTCGTCATCGTCATCGAAGATGTCGAATGTCACATCACCAAAGCTGCTCAAGTCCTCCGCCGAGCTGCTGGCCACCAAGCTCGCAATCTTGGGCGGACTGAAAGTGGGAAATGCGGTTGCGGATGCGGATGCGGAGGGCAAGGCGGATGCGGATGCGGATACTGATACAGATACGGATGCAACTTGATTTACAACGTAACTGAGACGCGCATCGTTGCTGTAGTTGTTATTTGCTACGGATGGCATTTTCCTTGAGTTTTCCGAGGGACGGGGGAGTTTTCCGGGTGGGGGCTGCAATCCTTTGACTCTCCTCGCTTATTGCCAGTTATCGCCGCTGTTTGCTAGTCCTCCGTTCGGCACATGGTGAAGGGATTTTCGCCGGCTCCGCCTGTTTTCTGGTTGGGTTGTTCTTCTTATTTTTGCTGAAAGGAAAAAGCAAGCGGAAGGAGCAAGTTAGTTTTGCCAATTAAAGCCTTAATTGTGCTGTCAGTATTTGCGCATTTCTCTGCAAAAGAAAAGCTTTCACATTTTTCAGGCGTATCTGTATCTCTGGGTGGCTTAAGCCTTGCGCTATTCCTATTTCTGGGCAAGTAACCATTCCCTCACATGCCAAACTCATGTCAGCAATCGTTTCTCAATGACTTTTTTTTTCAACCTATTTCCAATTTGTAAGTACCCCTGCCCTCACCGGCATTTGTATCTTTTCAGCTGGAAATTGAATTTTTGAACAGCTCTGCCAACGCTATCTGCCAGATACTTCGGGTAGCAAAGCCACACAGACACATGGCACTCCTTGGATGCGGATACACATAGGACATCACACATGGCAGGCACTGCTAACGAGAATTGACAGCTTGACAGTTCGATATCAGGCTAGAAGTCAGCATTAGTTACAGTTCTGAGTTCTCAGTGCCTCGAATTTGCTTTATTAAAAACATCCTCCATTGTGGCAGCTTCTCTCGTTCCTTTTTTCTCGGCACTTGTCAGAACAAACTTGATTTGCGAGGCAATAATCCTGATAAATTAACACTAATTTGCAAGCGCCAACAGCGGAAGGAGAAAAAAACTCTGGTCGGTCTAATCGGCAGGTGAAAATGAAGCAGAGAGCTTCGTTTGTTGGCAAACTGCTCTGTAGATTCCTGCCAGTCCAAAACCAAATA